AGTAGTAGTAGTAGTAGTAGTAGTAGTAGTAGTAGTAGTAGTAGTAGTAGTAGTAGTAGTAGTAGTAGTAGTAGTATAGTAGTAGTAGTAGTAGTAGTAGTAGTAGTAGTAGTAGTAGTAGTAGTAGTAGTAGTAGTAGTAATAGTAGTAGTAGTAGTAGCAGTAGCAGTAGCAGAAGCAGTAGTAGTAGTAGTAGTAGCCGTAGCAGTAGCAGTAGCAGTAGCAGCAGTAGTAGCAGTAGTAGTAGTAGTAGTAGTACTACTACTACTAAAAACGTAGTAGCAGTAGTCGTAGTCGTAGTCGTAGTCGTAGTCGTAGTCGTAGTAGTAGTAGTAGTAGTAGTAGTAGTAGTAGTAGTAGTAGTAAAAGTAGTAGTAGTAGTAGTAGTAGTAGTAGTAGTCGTAGCTTCCGTTGTATCATTGGCATCATTGTTGTTATTATTATTCTTACGATTGCTTTATTATTGTTAGTAGTACCCTAACACCCTCCAGGGTGGGGATGTGTGCTGTTTCCTTCGGGCTGCGCGGGGCCAATCCCCACCGGACCGGGCGACCCGGCAGGGCAGAGATACATTGCCAGGCATGCTCGCGTCGTAGAAAAATCAAGACAGGAGGTTGTTTTTTTAAAACTATTTTCGACCCTCGGGGGCCTTCGCCGGGCCCCGGGACCGTCAAAAAACGACTCAGGATGAAAAACCAGTCCCAGGGAAAGGGTTGGGACTTCCAGGAACGCCGTCCTGAAAAGAATCAGGACGTCGCATGTCAGGGTGCGGGAGCAGTGCTGTACATCACGGTGAGGGAGCCGAGCGGTCGGCCTCACGACGCTGAAGCCTGCAGGCACAGCGCTGCATATCACAGTGAGGGAGCCGAGCGGTCTTGCAGGGTTCCCAGGTGCGCGGCTGTCGTGGGGCTCAGCAGGGCGACTTGAACTCTCACTCGCAAGAACACGTACTGCTGACTCCCCCCTCTGGTGCCCGTTGTACTTTTTCAGCGGACGTGCCCCCCCGGGGCTCGCAGCCCGATTCATTAAAAGTGTGAAAGTCCTGGGGCTCAGACTGTGCCCCTGGCCCCAGGATTACAATCACTACCGCCTCACAACGACTTCAAAATCGCGCCCTCGCGCGGGACTCCCTCACAACGTATCCAGGAATCGTGCTCTCGCATGGGAAAACCTTGCAATCCAATGAAACGCCGCGCCTTCGACACTCAAGAATCACGCTCTCGCTCTGGACTTCCGCTTCACTTGGGAGCCGCGCGATCGCACGAGACTTCTTGCGATTCATGCAGGGCTGACGCTTCAGCGATCCGCCCGCTCGACCCAGCCGCCTGGGCCCGCCCCCGCTACCCGCCCGTCAGGATCCGCCTGCCGTCTGCCCATATGGTTCTTCCGCCTGATTTTCGATGGCGAGCCCGGGGGGGAAGGATTGATAGGCTAACGGCTAACTCATGTAATCTCATGTTGGTCGCTTCTTGCGTCCAAGGACTCCCTTGGAGGCCCTGCGCAAGCCTCGGAATCGTATAAAGGGGAAGTGCGGGAACGCATAAATCATTCATTTCCTTCTTAGGTATTCTACGAGTTTGGGGCCCCCAGGCGCTTCCTGGGTTCTTTTTTGGGAGGTGACGGGGGTCTGAATTGTGGTCTGTTGTGCAAGAATAGACCTGGGGCCAAACTTGGAAAAAGGTGATACTTCCTCACAGTGTATTCATAATCGCGCTCTCGCGCGAGACTCCGTCAGAAATTCTGCAGGACTCGCTCTCCCGCGTAGAAACTCCTCGCAATGAATCGAGACGCCGCGCCCTCGACACTCAGGAATATCACTCTCTCACTGGACCCATTAGGACTTCCTTTGGAACCACGCTATCGCGCAACACCTTGTTCCTTCCCTCCTCCCTCCCCTCCCATGTTCTTAGGGGCTGCGCCAACTACGCGTGGCAGGCAAGGAAGGTACACCCCCAAGGGGTGTACGATCGAGGACCAAGAGGGCGGGGGTATCGAGGGTCCGGGATAGACAGGTTCAATGGCACGTGGGCAGATGGGAACGAACAGTCTGAGAATGATTGCTCTCGTTCTTGCTTGCTGTCGCCCCGCGACCCACCTGCCCCTCGACCCACCCATAGAGGCTTCCAAGATGGGGTCGGAGTAGGTGGGGTCGGAGGATCGCGCCGCATCGCCGATACATCGACGATGCATCGGCGATGTATCGGCGATGCATCGGGGATGCACTGGCGACGCATCGTCGACGTCGGCGATGCATCGGCGACGCCGACATGGAGCAAATCGGGCTCCACATCGAGCCGCATCGCCGATGGATCGTCGATACGGTGCGCTCATCCGACCACATCTACTCCGACCCCATCTAGGAGGCCTAGAAGGACCCAGCAGAGAAGCCGATCGAGCCGTTCAGAGCGGCACAGGGTCCGCCCCGAGGGGTCTCCAGCCACTCGCCGCTGCGGAGCGGGCCGGCCAGGCACAGCTTGGCAGCGTGCGGGGCTTGCCGGCAGATCACCGGAGCGAGGTCCTGGCAGGCGCCAGGGGCAAGGTCGGCTACACGCAGGAGTGGCCCTGAGTAGGAGGCCGCGGGGCCAAATTCAAGCGCGCAAGACGCCACTGACAACTCGCGCTCGGCGATCGGGGCGCCCCAACGGGCCCGCACCGGAGGCCACTCCGGCGAAGGGTCACTCCTACGTGTAGTCGGCAAGATCACTTGACTGACCTACCAAACCACCCCAACTCAACCCGAAGACCCGAATTTCCACCCCGCTGGAGATGGAGAGCCCATCGGGGCCTTCGGGTCAGGCTGGGCTGGTTTGGTGGGCGGTGGCTACAGGACGCCAGGATCCACAGGTCTCCACCGCTCTGGGCCAGGCCCATCCCCTGGGCCGGGGCCGGCTTGTACGCCCCCACGGCTTGGCCGGGCGGAGGGAGGAGGGAGGAAGGAGGCGGGAGGCGGGAGGCGGGAGGAGGGAGGAGGGAGGAGGGAGGAGGGGAGGAGGGAGGAGGAGGAGGAAGGAGGAGGAGGAGGAGGAGAAGGGGGGAGAGGGGAGGAGGAGGAGGAGGAGAGGGGGAGAAGAGGAGGAGGAGGAAGGGGGGAGGAAGGGAAGGCATGCGCACCGACCCCAGGCCCAGGGCGGGCCTGGCCGGGGGCGGTGGCTCTGCGAGGGGCATCGACGCCCGACCTCTCGCGGACCCTCCGCCCACGTTCCTGCCGCTGCTCCTCGTCGGCCACCTCCTGCTCCTCCTCCTCCTGCTCCTCCTGCTCCTCCTCCTCCTCCTCCTCCTGCTCCTCCTCCTCCTCCTCCTTCTGCTCCTCCTCCTCCTCCTCCTGCTCCTGCTCCTCCTCCTGCTCCTGCTCCTCCTCCTCCTCCTCCTCCTCGCTTCTCGCTCATGTGCCTTCTCATCGGTCACGAGGACGATGATATGATCGATGTGCATCGCACGCATGCGCGCCTTCGGGACGCCGCTCACGGAGCATGAACGTGCAGACTCGAGGGCGGTAGGACGAGAAAAGCGTGGACACGGTAGGGTGGGAACCAAGACGTTGGATCAGAACACTCTGCCTGGAACCGTTGGCTGTTTTGGCCCTCTGGCAGCCGGGGGCCAGATCCCATCGCCCAAGGGTCGTTCTCCTCCGCTCATCATCGTCATCCCCCTGCACCTCCAGCCATGTTGCCAAAAACCGCTTGGGCCATGAAGAACTCCTCAGGCACAGCTCAATCACGCTCAAGGATTCAGAGCATACAATGTGTTCCAGATATCACGCTAAATGGAGGGGGGTTACAGCCCTCCGAGATAAGCCATTCAAGACCCCTGCCTTCTGGGAATACCTGCGCCACAAAACAGTTCCTGCCCTGGCCATCCCTGACGGGGCAATCAAAATCCAACCCCTCACCGACGGCCGCCGCGACGGACAGAACGGTAGACGACCTCACCGAAATCAGACCCCACTCCCCAAACAGCAGGACCCCCCCCCGTCTGGCTGTGGACCGACGGTCGAGACGTCAAAACGCCGAAGCCGCTTCCGAAGCTGCAGACGGGTTCGCGGGCACCGCCCCCATCCAGGCGAGGACGACGCCGACGCCCCCCCCACCCCTCCAGACGCCCTCGAATTGGTTGAGACCCCCCCGTCCAGTGGAGGGCATACATGGTTCAATTCTGAGTTTCAAGCCCCCTCTCCGCCACGCACGTTGCTGCGCAATACTATGGCAGACCCGCCTCGTCGAGTCACACGCTTTTTGCTCTACAGCAGCGGACAACAAGCTCACTGCAAGGCCTCTCAGCATCTCAGATCGGACGTCCCCCCGGCAGACCTTGTGAACATCAGCATCAGACTCACTCCGCTCGCCAAGACAGCTCGAGCCAGACCCCACCCCTTGAATGAGATCACCTGGTTCTGTTATGAAACCGACATACTCCCAACAATCGCACATACGTTTAAATCGAGTTGCGTCAACCGCAGCGGAACATCCCAATTCCACCCTCCGTGGGCAGAAAGATATGATGTTTTCGCTGGACTGTTAATTCGTTGGCGTTGTACTCTGTGTTGCACCTTGTCTCTCCAGTCCTGGCTCGGGGCCCGCGCGGGCCCCTCCCCCCAAAAAGCATCCGCGCCCCCGCCGCGCCCGACACCGCCAGCGCCCTGGCGCCCTGGGCCCACCCACCCTGCAAACACCTCGCCAGCGCCCCCCACCACGCCCCCACCTGGCCATCGCTCGGACGTCCATGTCCTGTGTTTTGTTAGGTTTCGCGCGCGTTGTTTTTCGCCAAATGATCAAGGATGCTCCCCGATGGTCCTCGCCGACGGAAAAATGCACACGTCCGAGCGATGCCAAGCCACCGCGCCTGACACCGCCAGCCCCCTGGCGTCCTGTGCAAAAACCTCGCTGGTACCCCCCACCACGCCCCCACCGCGCCACCGCCAGCCCCCTGGCGCCCTGGGCCTAGGTTCCTAGCGCCGAAAACAGAGCGATTTGTCCTGCTATCGCGGTGCCAGATGGTCGGCGAGCGGCACGATGATGCCGTGCGCACGAAAAATCTGAGACTGACCATGGCTAGGAGAAGGAGTGCCCGATGCATCATGACAGCACGCTTCACAAGACATATGATGAGTACGCCCGCCGAAGAATCAAGTCCTGTTCGACCAAACGGCTTGAGCCAAACTGTCTTGATCCAAAATGCTTACGGATCTCATTGCACTGTGCAAGGCATACACATATATATATATACACACAACTACACAACACGCAAGCTACGTGGTGAAAGCTGAGCAGTGAAGACTATGTGGTGCAGACGACGCCACCTCGGCCATGTGGTGTACAGGCTGTGCGGTGCAGGCCGAGCTCTGCACGCGCACGGGGGCGCCGACGAGCAGGCACGGGGCGCCGACGGGGCGCCACCCCGGGAACAAAAAAGACACCCAGCGCACGGTGAGCCCACGGGGCGCCCAGTGAGTGGGCAAGGGGGGGGGGGGCCACGCGGCGAACCAAATGGGAAGCCCACCCAGCGCACGGGGCGCCCACGAGGCGCTCACGAGCCTGGCCGTCGCTCGGACGTCCATTTCCCGTGCATTCTTCGGTTCCGTGCGTATGTTTTTTGCTCGATGGTCCAGGATGGTCCTCGATGGTTCTCGACGAGAAAAAATGCACACGTCCGAGCGATGCCAAGCTTGTGAGAGAAAGACATCTGTGCGGCAAGCTCCTGCAGGAACGAGAGGCACGTGCGGCAGGCTGAGCGGTGCCATGTACGACGTGCCTTCTGCGTGGCCCAGTCTGCGGCGTGCAGTACGGCCGGACCTGGGACAGAAGAGCATCCTTCAGCACGGTCGGATCCAGGACAGAAGAACACGAGGCCCTCCGCCGCCGCCCAAAACACACGGAGCGTCCACGTCCAGGGCTACCCTCCCCAGGCCCCCACGATGCACAACAACATCCATCAGGCACGACGGACATCAGGGCACCCTCCCCAAACCGACCTCGAGCCGCTGCCTTGCCTCGCCCTTCTCTGGGGTGCCACCTCCCGTGCGCGGTGGCCACCGGCCGCCCCCCCCCCCGGGGCGAGGATCCCGAGACATGCCGAGCCCGCGCACGCGGGGGCCGCCGAGGCGACCACGGACGGACGCCCCTCGGGCGAGGACCTGGAAGCACCGCCGAGCGCACGCGGCGGCCACGAGGCGGCCGCGGGGGCCCGCCAACGTGGGGGCCGCCGAGGCGGCAACGGACGCCCATGGGGCGAGGATCTGGAAATACCGTTCGGTCGGGCCTGGCCCCCTGATGACAAGGGGATCTTCAGCGAAAAATTCGACATACTAAAAAATCAATAAAACGCGCAAAAATAATAACAGAAATTCCCCATGCTATGTTTTGACTCTTTTTGAATATCCCTCATGTAGAGGGACAGGCCCGACTTCCAACATACCACCCGGCGCACGGGGCGGCCGCGAGGCGGCCGCGGGAGCCCACGAGGCCAGCACCCGGGGAATACGCCCGCCGCTTGCTCTGCAAGCCAGGTGATGGCTCGGCAGTGGACAAACCTCCCTGACGTAAGACTCGGCTACGGGGGACTCGGGTTGGCCCGACGGGGCCATCATAAAAATGACGAGGCCCAATCTGAAATTAGACGCGAACTCCCGCTGCAAACATCCCACGAACACCGGATCGTCAAAATCCAGGACGCGCTCGTCAAAAAAACGTCGGCAAACCCGAGTTCCGGCTTACTCGGGTCTTGCGTTCCCTCGTAGTAGACCTCCCCTCAGTGAAAACGGCCTTGGGCCGAACCCGACGGACCTGGAGCCACAAAAATGACGGCCGCGACGCCCTCTCGCGAACCGAAAACGGCCAATTCGCTCGTCGACGCGTCAGGGTAGGAGGTCTGTCCACCTCCGAAGTTGTACATCTTCGAACCCCTGGGGTAGGAGGTCTATCCACCTCCGAAGCGCGTCGAGGTAGGAGATCTGTCCACCTCCGAGGAGTGCCACCCGTGCCCTGGGCAGGCACCGAGCCCTGTCGCCCGGCGGCACACACCACCGGACGCCCGCTGGTCTCTGGCAGCGCGGCCCGTGGAGGTGGCGACACACCGTGCACACGCGTGCTGTGCTGCTCGAGCTCAGGGCGCATTTTGGTCCCAGCCGTGCTCCCAGAGCTAGGGGGCAAACAAACATACCCCGCTTTTGATCCAAGAGATACCGAGCGATGCCAAACTGCGGCCTGTCCTGGTCAGGCCGCTTGACGAGGAGGCGCGTGGTATGACTTGGTTTTGCCTGGAAGCGAAAGCGGGGTAGGTAATTCACGCTCTGTGCACTCGCGCCGTGCCGCTCGAGCTCAGGGCGCGCTGGTCCAGGCCGTGCTTCCAGGACTCTCCTCGGCGGGGCACGTCCTGCACGCCAGCTCACTCTCTGCTCGGGCAGCTCACGAGCGCAGGGGCCCACTTCACCCACGAGCGGCTCGAGCCGGACCGCCACCCAGCCCTCCTCCCCCGCCCTCCTCCAGTCGGGCACGGCCAGAGCCTCCCATTCCGTGAGGACCCCCTCGGGGGCCTCGTGGGCCTCGAGGGTAGGCAGGACCGGTCGGGCTGCGAAGGTCCTGAGTACTACGAGGCCGCCCGCCTCTGTCCTCACCTTTTTTGTTCTTGCGACTGCCAGCGCCGCACACTGCCACTTCAACAGGATCTCGCGAACACGGTGCGGACCTGCTCTGCCACTCCTGCCGGCACCAGATCGTCGATACGTTCGCCGGCAGCCAGCCGCTCGCGCAGCAGGGTGGAGCTGACCCCGTTGTACTGCGGGGGGCCCTGCACGTAGTAGGTCGGCATGGGGGCCATGCAGGAGGCGAGGGGGGGCCAGCACAGGTTCTGGACCTCGAGGTGCCTCTCTGCCTTGCCGTCCTCCTCCCAGGAGCGAATCCCCCGGTAGAAGGCGCGAGCGCCCAGCTGCCTCGCGAGCCTGAAGATGGCCCCCCCCCAGACGTGCACCCTCACGTTCTGCGCGCCGATGCCGCGAGCGATGCCCTCCAGGATGGCCTTCCTGTCCTCCGCGCTGATCAGGTACACCTTGCTCGGGTTCACCCCGACGACCACGTGCACAGACTCGTGCGCCCCTGCCAGATAGCGCATCACCTCGGCGTGGCCGTGGTGCGGGGGGTTGAAGGAGCCCGCAAAAATGACGGCGCCCGCAGCGGTCCTGGAAGGGGGAGCCGGGTATCCTCCGCGCGCCTCGTCCCACCGCACCATGTTCGGCTCCGAAGTCCACAGCTTCGCGACGGGGTCCACGAGGCAGCCCATACAGACGCCGCCGCTCCCCGACCGCTCGGGGCACGGGAGCGCACGGAGGGCGGCGAAGGACGAAATAGCGGAGCAAACAAACGGCGGAAATCTAGTTTCTCGAAGTCCGCTGGACCAGCGTTGGACCCCCGCCCGTGGCGCGGGGCGGCGCCGGGGGCGCCGCCAGGAGGATCCAGCGCCGATCCAAGAAATCCACGCAGACCTCCCAAAATTTATGTTGATGAACTGTTTGCTGCGCGATGCAATTCATTGCCACTGCAAGGCCCCGACGCACCGTCAATGGCAAGGGCTGGAGCCCGCCTCTGGCAGACCCCGAAGTGTTTTTCATGCTCTGAGGGCGATTCGGCCGTCCGCGGCCCTCCCCAGGACGGGGCTAGCATTAGGTCGAGCGTGTCCCCCTACAGGCACATTTTCGACGCGAAACAAAAAATACCCCAAAAATATTCAAACAGGCTGAGAAAAAGTAGAAGAGTCGTCCCCAGACTATGTTTGACTATTTTTGAGCATTCCTCCTGTGGAGGGGCAACCCCGATCTATAAGGCTAAGACGAAGATAAATCCGTTCCAGGGCGTTCCGTAATGCTCTCAGAGCGTTCCGGAACGCTCCGGGACAGCCGCGGCGCCCGATGCATCCTCCAGAGCCGACGGCTCTCAGAGATACTGGATTGATCCTCACCAAGATGTTATCCTCGTCCTGGTTTCGTCCCACTCTCCCCCTCTCCTCCCAGCTATGCTCCACAAGAGGCGACACATCGCCAACAGATCGGCGATGGGCCCCTGGTGGTGAAGTGGCACCTTCCTGGGCAGGTTGGGGCTATTGGGCACCTGTCGGCGCTCGATGGGCGAGCGGAGTCAATGCAATCGGCGATCAATGGGCGATTGGGGGTCGATGCATCCCTCCCTATGCATATTCCCCCCCGATCGTTGGCTCTGACCCAAGCCTTCCCCCACAAGAGTTAGGTCGGGCGCGTCCTCCCACAGGCGGATTGCGGCCGAAAAATCAAACATAGCCAAAACAGACTGAAGCATCGCAAAACCTAGACAAACACCATCCCCAGGGTCTTGTTCTACTATTGTCGAAGATTCCTTCCGTAGAGGGAGGAACATGCCCGACTTGACGCAAGAGGAGAAGGGTCTGACACTAACCAGCCTCGAACTATCCCTGTCCCTAAGATTGTCACGCCAAAAGGGGATGACAATCTCAGGGATGCGCCCTCAAAAAATAAGGAAATCCCTAAGATTGCCGTCGTGATGAGGAGGTGCCCAGCATAGGGATAGGGATATGTTCTAGGCTGGTAAGACATGCCCGACTTGACCCAAGAGGAGAAGGGTCTGACACGCCTGCCTCTCCATTGGCCGAGGCCTCGTCTGGGGCCCGCGGCCAGTCCGCGCGGCCGCAGAGGGTCGCCCAGCCACGCGCCTCGACCCGCGCGGCCGCCGTAGGACGAAGCCAGCACGGGGACAAGTTCGGGTAAGGATGAGTCCTCCTCCTCCTCCTCCTCCTCCTCCTCCTCCTCCTCCTCCTCCTCCTCCTCCTCCTCCTCCTCCTCCTCCTCCCTCCTCCTCCTCCTCCTCCTCCTCCTCCTCCTCCTCCTCCTCCCCCCCTCCTCCTCCTCCTCCTCCTCCTCCTCCTCCTCCTCCTCCTCCTCCTCCCTCCTCCTCCTCCTCCTCCTCCCCCCCTCCCCCTCTCCCTCCCCCTCCTCCTTCGCGAGACCAGCTCCTGCAAGCTGGGCCCTCATTGGCATGCACCTCGTCGCCTGAGGCTCCAGATGAGACGAAGCCGGGACGAGGATGAATCTCTGAGAGCCGTCGGCTCTGGAGGATGCATCGGGCGCCGCGGCTGTCCCGGAGCGTTCCGGAACGCTCTGAGAGCGCTCGGGAACGGATTTATCCTCGTCCTGCGAAACCCCGCCTGCCCCGCCTTGGGTGGACACCCGGGGGGGGGAACGTTCGGGTTGGGACCAGCTCAGGGAGGAAACATCGACCCGGAACCACACGATCCTGGGCGGGATGGGCGACCAGGCCCCCATCGGCAATCCATGGGCGATGGGGGCTCGATGCGTTCCCTCCTGAGCCCACCCCTCTTCCCCTCCACGCCAGCACTGACCCTGAGGAGGGGTTGGGGGGGCACGGCCCGCGCGCACGGCTCGTGCCCCCCCTCCAGCGGGGGGCATGGGGCGGACGGCCGTGCCGCCAGGCGCCGAGATTGCTGGCACCTCTTGGCGGCAGGCATCCTACCAGAGCGCGGCGGCCGCTGCCGCGGCCCCGCGAGGTCGCTGAGGGGGGGGGCGCTCCTCCTCCCTCCTCCCTCCCTCCTCCCTCTCGCGTCACCTCCCTCCTCCCTCCCCGCCTCCCTCCCTCCCTCCTCCCGCCCCTCCTCCCCTCCTCCCTCCTCCCTCCTCCCTCCCTCCTCCCTCCTCCCTCTCTCGTCCTCTTTGCGCCTGAGCCCCAAAGGCTGTCACAGCGTGGCTAGCCGCGGAAGTGGGAGGACACAGAGGCACCCGTGGCACTGCTCCTTGGACCTCTTCCAGGGTGAGTCTTTAGCAGACTGTCGGGGAGGATGATCCAATCGTGGCGACATGAGCTCTCCAGGGCGAGCAGCGCTATGGGTACCTTCTCCCCAGACCCAGGACGGCAACGTCGACCCCCCACACATCTCGACCCATTCCCCAGAACAGGTTTTCCATCCCGAATCGTTGTTTGACGGCCCCAGAGGCCTGGCAAGGGCCCCCAGAGGCCGGAAATCCGCCGGCCCCCTTGCCAGGCCACAAGGCTGCGAGGATCAGGATTGCAGCTCCCTGTTCCAGTTGCAGCTTCCAGTTTCCATTGTTACAGCCCTGCTTTCTGCTTCCTTATTGTTAATTGTTGCTGAACGCGCGAGGAGGGAGCCCCAAACCAGCCTTTTTACCACGCCTAGATCGCGTTGTCTGAATTTCCAGGGGGGCGTGGGACACCTAAAATACATCAGATTCGCGTCGCCGAATGCATAATCCCTGGCAAATTGCACCATACTCGCGTCCACGAGGCCATAAACCAGTGTCAATTACACTATAGTCGCGTCCCCGAAACCATAATCCCATGCAAATTACATAAACGATTCGCGTCCCCGAAGCCATAGCCCCTTGTAACTTGTACAATATTCGCGCCCCCGAGACCATAAACCCATGTAAATTATGGAATATTCGCGCCCCCGAAGTCATAAACCTTTGAATTGTATGCAATATTCGCGTCCCCAGGGCCATAAACGCTCGTATATTGAAACCTACGTGCGTCCCCGAGACCACAAACACTCTAAAATTATATCAGCTTCGCGTCCCCAGGGCCATAACCCATCGTAAATCACCCGATATTTGCACCCCCGAAGCCATACACCTTCATGAATTACGCAATATCTGCGCCCCAAGCCATAAACCTCCCTAAATGATGCAAGATTCGCGTCCCCGAAACCATAAACCATCGTAAATTACCCCATATTCGCGCCACCCAAGCCGCAAACTCTCGTAAATTAAGATTGGCCCTCGCGTGAAGTCCCGACATTGCTTCACGTCAACGTCCAGACATCCCAACACAGCTGTGGCAAGTCCCACTCTAAGAGAGGGGGGTCGGCGGCATGGGGGGCGAAGCCCTTACGGATAGCAATCCGTCGCCCTCCGTAGTCTGCTTGTCACGACTCGAGGGGGTCCAGGCACTCCTCTGAGGAAATAGAGGCCTACCAGATGGGGTCGGAGTAGATAGGGAGCCCACAAAGGACGTACGCGCCCAGCTATGTACATGAACACGGCCCCTTGACCCGCGAGACCGGCCGCGTGATACGACCATTCGCGCAATGCGAAATCTCGAAACCAGCGTGGATTCATGTACGAGTACGTCCTTCTTTCGCTCCTGAGTAGACGGGGTCGGAAGATCGCGCCGCATCGCCGATACATCGGCGATGCATCGGCAATGCATCGGCGATGCATCGGCGATGCGCCGCCGGTGCATCGGCGATGTATCGGCGATGCATCGGCCACGTCGACGTGACGCAAAGCGGGCTGCACGTCGAGCCGCAACGGTGCATCGGCGATGCGGCGCGGTCCTCCGACCCCATCCCATCTAGGAGGCCCAGAGTTGCGGATGCCAAGACAATGCACGCTCCAACAACCCGATCATTGGATGTCAAATGTGCATGAGATGCGATCAAACTGTGTAAAGCATGTTTCAAACCTGTTTCCCACATGTTTTCACACATGTTTTAAACATGCTTCAGACCTCTGGAAATGATTTGACAACATGCCTCCTCTCCACAAACCTCGAGGAGAAGAGTGCACCCGTGGAGCTGCGCGTGGCTGCCTCCAGGGCGGCGCCCCGCAGCGAAGGCAGCGCGCCGCACTCGTCCGGCGGCCTGCCCCGCCCCTGCCATCGCTCGGACGCCCATTTCCCGTGAATTGTTCGACTTCGTGCGTATGGTCTTTGCTCGATGGTCCAGAATGGTCCTCGATGGTTCTCGCCGACTCCTGACCCCTCCTTCTTTGATCGATCACCTCAAATGCGGCCACAAGATGACCACAGAGGCTCCTTACAGTGACCCAAGAGGGCTCCAAGAGGCGCCCAGGAGGCCCCAAGAGGCCCCCAAAGATACCCCCCAAGATACCCCCAAGAGGCTCCCAAGAGACCCCCAAGAGACCCGAAGAGGCTCCCCCGAGGCATCCAAGTCGCTTCAAGAAGCCCCGGGGCCACCACAAGGACCCAAAGACGGCCCAGCAGGCCTACAAGAAGCTCTCAAGAGACATCCGAAGAGACTCCGAGAAGCATCCAAGAGCCATAGTTTCCTATGTTTCCTTGAACATCGATGATTGATTGTCTGTGTTTCTTCCCCTCCTGACCAGAATCGGATCGATCGGCCGCATCGGAGGTCGAAGCGCAGCGGACCGGCGGACGTCGGCGGCCGAGCCGGGAGGAGCCGGCTCGGCGGAGGACCTCGGCAGGCCGGTGGGCCTCCACGGAAAAAATCGGAGCCCCAAGCAGAGTTAGGGGGCCACATGCGAACCCTACTAGGCCTACCCCTGCCCCCCACGATTTCCGAGGGGGAGGGAGGGGCTCACTTCGTTCGGGAGCTCCCGAGCGAAGTGAACCCCACCCTCCCCCTCGGAAATCGTGGGGGGCAGGGGTAGGGTTCGCATGTGGCCCCCTATGGACGGCCTCCACGGAGGAAATATCGGAGCCCCAAGCAAAGTCCGAACCCGAATCGAGCCGGGACCGGAAGCCGTCGAGATCGAATCGGTCGCCTCGGATCGGGGATGGACAGATCTCCCTTCAGTAAAACGTGGTGTAGTGAAAACGACTACGAGCCCAAACCTGGCGGGCGCAGGCCTGGAAAATAACGGCCGCGGCGCCCTCTCGAGAACCGAAACCGGACAATCCACTAATCGACGTGTCACTGTCGGGGGTGCTGTCCACCCCCGATCGGAGGGATCGAGGCGAGTCCCGGGGCCGGCAGGGCGTGCCCCTGCTCTCGAGCGCAGCTGCTCGCCGCACCGTGCGCCTCGCGTCGGCCCCGCGAAGTCCCCCCGCAGGGCGTGCCGCGGGCGGGGGTGCGGGCCGCGGGCTGTCCTGGTGCGCAATGCGCCACTCCTCCTCGCCCTCGCGGGCGTCGGTCTGGCAGGCCCGGATCCTGAGGAGGCGGAGGTAGCCAGCCTCGAACTGATCCCGATCCCTAAGATGGGCGAGCAAAACGCGAGGGCAATCTTGGGGGTAGGCCCTCGGAAACTGAAGGTATCCGTAAGATCGGCATCGAGGTGAGGTGATGTCAATCATAGGGATGGGGATATGCTTCAAACTGGTAAGGAGGGGCTCCGTGCAGCAGGGGCCCGGCCACGAGGAGCCTTCCACAGGAAGCCCGACCCCGAGATCCCAGGACGTCCTCTGGTCTTCGGTGCAGGAGCGTCACGCTTCCCATGGCAAAACCATCGAGCCCCCAGGAACCTCAGGGCTCCCTGGAGGCAAGCAGAATGTTTCTTGGCATGGGTCCCCACTGTAAGCAGAATGCCGCGGGGGAGGGGTCCCGAAACGAGCGACGGGGTCAGAGAAGGAGAAGAGGCAGACAAACCCCGCCAGGAGCCGGGACACCATGGCGAAGGCTCAAGCACACAGGAACGAACGCAGCGGGGCTCGAGGAGGAGACCCGCATATGTGAATATCTCGTCTTCTACGAGTGTCAGGATATCCTGGCATCGACATGACCGTCCCAAGCTGGCTTCAGGCTGCCACGGAGCCGCTCAATGACTCCCCAGAGAGGTACAAATCCTTCGACAACTGCACTCTCTGTCTTTAGTGTCGTCCTCACCTGCTTTGGTGGGCTATTGAGGCCTCAACATGATTCCAAGATCCCCCAAGAAAGCCCCAAGAGGGGCCCCAAACTCTCCCGAGAGCGTCTCCGGAACGCCCAACCAATTGGGCCCCAAGAGGCGAATGTGAGTTCCCCTGCAGGGGGGCCAAAGGCTTTCAAAAGGCTTTCAACATGGCTCCGAGAGGGCCCTCGAGGTTTCACATTCCACCATTGCTGGCCGCGTCGTTTCACCATGCCCTTACGCCTCTCCTCTAGACAACTCCGCTCTAGACAACTGACTGCCCTGGGCATCATTTCTAGATGGACTGGCAGGGATATGCGAAGCGTCAATAATCAATCAAGAGGCGATCGTTTTGACGTCCTCCGAAAGCTCAGCTGCATTGCAAGCTCCAGCACGGAGAGCTCACGCAGGAGCTGTAGGCCTGCCCCAATCGAAGCGTCGAACAAAACACGTTTGCATACACGTCTTGGTACGCGTTGGTGTACATAACGATTCGGGCTCACGAGTGAGAAGGGAGCAGGAGGACGGAACACATCCTCACTCCCTCCTTCATCCTCATCCACCATCCCCTCTCCCTCCCTACGGCCACCGAAACTCCCAAAAAGAAACACAATCCCCTGAGGGTACTTCCGTGGCAATCGTAAAGGGTATGTCATCCTCCTCATACTCCACCTCGTCGTCCTCCTCCTCCTCCTCCTCCTCCTCTGCCTCCTCTATCTCGTACACCCGTAAACCCAAATGGATGCGCGTCCGAAGTCTCCACATTACACATCGAACGCACAGAGGGACTCGATGCCAGCCCTCGCCCGAAGGATCTGGCAACAAGACTCTAACCAGACAGATCGAGAGGCAAACAGACAAAAAACCGCAACCTCCGCTTGTCGTCGTCGTCGTCCTCCTCCTCCTCCTCCTGCCCTTCCTCCTCCTGCTCCTCCCTCCTCCCTCCTCCCTCCTCCCTCCTCCCTCCTCCCTCCCACTCCTCCCTCCCTCCCTCCCTCCTCACTTCCGCCCCAAAAACTCCGACGTCGCGCTTTTTGTTCGCAGCGTGTACTCCCGGAGGTCTAGACCGCTTCCGTGGGACACTCGAAGTCTCAGGTCGTGCCTGTGCCCCCTACAGGGGGATTTTTGGACGAAGAGTAAAACATGGTAAAGAAAATGCTCGAAAATGTTCGAACATTGTCCAAAAATCGTCCCCCGACTGTTTTTTTGACTATTTCTGAAGATCCCCCCTGTAGAGAGAAAAGCCCGACTTCATCCAAGCCGCCGTTTGATGATCCTTCGGGGATGGACAGACCCCCTTCAGTAAAACTTGGGTTAGTGAAGACGACCTGAGGCCCAAAACTGGCGGGCGCACGCCTGGAAAAGAACGGCCGCGGCGCCCTCTCGAGAACCGAAAACGGACAATCCACTAGTCGACGTGTCACTGTTGGGGGTTCTGTCCACCCCCGACTGTAGAGGGACAGGCCCGACTTCACCCGAGCCGCCGTTTGATGGCCCCGGGGCCCGCGGGGGGCCTCCCGCGAGCAGACCCTGGCAGCTCGCCATCGCTTGGACGTCCACTCCCTGTGCATGTTCGGCGTCGTGCGTGTTTTTTTTCGCAACGTGCACAACAATGCTCCTCGATGGCCCTTGCCGATGAAACATGCACACGTCCGAGCGATGCCAAGCCAGAAAAAGGCCTGCGGCGTGTTGCTCCCTTGGGGCGGCGCTCGGAGGCGGCGCCCTCTCCCTCGCGCGGTCCTCGGGGCCCGCGGGGGGGCCTCCGGGAGGCCACGGATAGAAACAAACCTTGCGTTGGTGCGTCTTCGCGACGAGAGGGAGGCAGAACAGGGCAACAAAAATCCCCCCCATAAGAACCACCCCGACAAGCGACCCGGAGGCCACAGATAGAAACAAACCTTGCGCTGGTGCTTCTTCGCGACGAGAGGGAGGCAGTGGAGGGCCAAACGTTCCCCCACCCCCATAAGAACCACCCCGCCAGGCGAGGCCGTGTAATACACGCACTCGAAGAGGGAATCGAGCAGGACAGGGCTGTTTAAGAATCGCCCAAGGCCGTTTCGTAAACGCCAGTTGTCCGGTCTGGGCGGTTGTTCGTCCCTTGAGGCAGGGTCTTCCTCGCCATCGCTCGGACGTCCATTTCCCGTGCATTTTTCGGTTTCGTTTGTGTTTTTGTTTGCTCGATGGCCCAGGATCGTCCTCAATGGTTCTCGCCGAGAAAAAATGCACAAGTCCGAGCGATGCCATGCTTCTGGGGGAGCACTCTGACATCAGTGCCGGGGAGAATCCAGCCGCGGTGAGAAGGGCTCTCCAGGGCGCGCGGAGGCGGCGTCCTCTCCTCCCTCGCGCGGCCCTGGGGCCCGCCGGGGGGCCTCCCGGAGGGCGGTTGTTCCTCCCTTGAGGTAGGGGCTTCTGGGGGAGCATGCTGACCTCCGTGCCGGGGAGAATCCAGCCGTGGTGACAAAAGGGCTCTCCAGGGCGAGCAGCGGCATCGCCTTCTCCGCCGACCTCCTCACACTTCCCCTCCTCGGGGATGGACAGACCTCCCTTTTGTAAAGCGTGGTTTGGTGAAAACGACCTGAGGCCCAAAACTGGCGGGCGCACGCCTGGAAAATAGCGGCCGCGGCGCCCTCTCGAGAACCGAAAACGGACAATCCACTAATCGACGTGTCACTGTTGGGGGTTCTGTCCGCCCCCGACCTCCCTCCGTCTCAACCATTCTCTCCTCCAGCCCCTGACCCTGCCCGGGAGATGCTCGGCCCTCTCCGCGCACCGCTTTACACGCAGGTGTTCAAACATTGGCCTCTTTTCTGGATGTGCAATACGATGTTTCGGTGTTTCAACATGGTGATTCCGAAGCGTGGGCCTGATTTTCGGGTCGGCGTTTTGGTCCCGTCGTTCAGAATGGCGGTCTCGCCCCAGCGCGGGCCCCTGTTCTGGATCCGAGTGCGTTTTCATCGTTGTCACCCCACTTGTCCTCCTGCTATTCCCGCTCCTTCCACTCCGCCTCCCACTGCTGATGTTCGTTCTTGTCTTTCTCATCCCTCGCCCTCCTCTGCTCATCAGCATCCTCCTCCTCCTCCTCCTCCTCCTCCTCCTCGAATGTACTCAGCTCCACACTTATTTTCCGATATCGCATAGCCATGTGGGGCCCGCTCTGAAGTTCCAGGTCCGCCATGACACGCGCCGGCGGAGAGAGAAGAAAAACAACACAATGGAATGGGGTGGGAGGGGCACTATGCCAGACATGGCACCCGCGCGCCTAGCTTGGGAAAACCAACAGGTACTGATACTGCTAATTGCCAGGCCTCTCCCAGGGTGCGTTCTGACCAGAGTTTCGAGGCGAATCCAGCGGTGGCGACGCGGGCCTCCCAGGAAGCCCAGAAATATGCGAAAACGAAGCAAGGGTAGCGATATCGTTACCCTTTCCTCCCCTGCTAGCTTGCCCCTCCCTCCCTCTCTCGATTGTTGCTAGAAGTGTCCCTGGACACAGGTGCCCCCAGGATTTTGCAAGGAGGCACCACAGCCTCCAGAGCACCCCTCACGAGGCCCAGAGGGCCCCAGAGGTTAAAAATGAAACGAAAAGCTGGGGGCACCTGGACCAGGGGCATCTTTAGAACCCTCCGACCCCTTCCCTTTCTCCCTCAGAGGCCGAGGTCGAGCTCGGGCCGTCACCGTCGTCGTCGTCGTCGTCGTCGTCGTCGTCGTCGTCGTCGTCGTCGTCGTCGTCGTCGGCGTCGTCGTCGTCGTCGTCGTCGTCCTCGTCGTCGTCCTCGTCGTCGTCGTCGTCGTCCTCGTCCTCGTCCCCGTCCTCGTCCTCGTCCCCGTCCTCGTCGTCGTCGCCGCCACCGTCCTCATCGTCGTCGCCGCCGTCGCCGCCGTCGTCGTCGACGCCGTCGTCGTCTCCGACGGCAGGGCGGGGGCCGCTCCTGGCGCTGGCGGAGCGGCCGTGGCCGGCGCCCGTCTCCTGCGCGCGCTCCGGCCGGCGTGGGGGGCCCCCTCCTCCTCCTCCTCCTCCTCCTCCTCCTCCTCCTCCTCCTCCTCCTCCTCCATCTCCTCCTCCTCCTCCTCCTCCTCTCCTCCTCCTCCCCTCCTCCTCCTCCTCCTCCTCCTCCTCCTCCTCGCCCTCCTCCTCCTCCTCCTCCGCTTCCTCCTCCTCACGGCGGGCGAGGCGGGGAGGGTGGGCATCTCGCTTCTCCGATGCCCTCCCCACTGGCGTGGCCTGGGCCCCGCTGGCAGATTTTCGCAAGGCGGAGACAGGACGATGATAACATCGGGTGAAGATGACTCGAGAATCTCTGAGATCCGGCCGCTCTCGAAGATGTCGCCGCGGCCTTCTCGGAGCGGTCCAGAACGCTCTGAGTGTTTGGGAACGCTCGGGAACAGATTTACCCTCGTCCTAGCCCCGTCCGAATTTTACCCACTCGGATGGCCCTTCCATTTTGCTGGCTGGAGGGGGAGAGTTAGGGAGGGACCAGCGCAGTAGTGAAAACATCGAGCTGGAATCGGTGGTACATCACCGAAAGATCGGCGATAGGCCCTCGACTGCAAAACCGCACGTTCTTGGGCGTGGTGTGCCATCGGGAACCATATCGACGATCAATGGGCATAGCCCCCTGATTGTTTCCCGGGTCGCAATCACACCAGCACGGTGAGTCCTTAACTTGGTGGAATTGTGGGTCGGGTCCAGGCGTCCATACTGGTGGTAGGTCGTGGCTCGGGCCCCAGATTTGGGGTCGATGCGTACCCCTCTGAGCCTACCCCCCCGAAGGTCTTCCAAGTGCCAGCTTCTGTCAGCTGCAATATAGGAAGAAAAATTGAATAAACATAAATGTTCGACGGCACGCGCGAATTTCTGGGTCTGCACTGGACCCCCCTCCCTGGCGTGCGGAGCGCGACGTGCCAGAGGCGGCGCTGGAGGCAGCGCCAGGGAGCCATATCGCCGATCCGAGGAATCCGCGCGGAGATCCGAAGTGTATGTTTATGCAGCTGCCCTCGTCGATGCGAGGCTCCCGCGCCGAGATCCTCGGAACACTGTCGTTCCATTCCCCTTGCCTCCTTTGCTGGCGCGGCCCTCCAGGCGTGCGCGCGCGGGGGATCTCCCTCTCTTGCTTGCTTCTCGGCATGTGCCAACTGTGACCGCGAGGATGCTTTCCGAAGCTCACTGCCGAGCAAAAGGAGGACGAGGAGGAGGACGACGACGCCTGCAGATCTAACCCTCTATGCCCTCACGGCCTTCTCCACTTTTCTATTTCTCTTCGTACTTCGCACTTGCTGTGCTGCGTAGTCTGCACTAAGGTGATGTTGCCGCTTTCCTGGTGTTATCGTACGCTCTCTGGTTTTCCGCAAAGAGAACGAAACAACCCCGTAGAGCCGAACCCGTCTGTCAATCCGACCAGGCGGTCCAGCTGTCGTCTACTGTGTGCAGACTTCGAGTCTCGGTGACGGGGCCGGCGTTTAGCGGCACCCGGGCTTGTTTGGAAGAGCGCAACACTGATGACCCGTTCGGCAAGGTCAACATTTGCCCCTAGGAGTTCCGTGCCAGAGCAGGGGCTGGTCTGCGCAAGCTTCTAGAGCAGGATTCGGCATCAGGAGCGAGCAGAAGAATAATGGGCCCGAGTGCCGCACCAAACTTACACGGAAATCTAAACTCCTTACGACTGACATTGGGGTCAACTATGGACTTCCACGCGCCATCCGGTTGATGCTGTTCCTCCCAAACCTCCTTCCCCCACTCCCCGTCCCACCCATCCTCCCCATCTATCCCCCCTCACCCCCTCCCCCTCCCCTCCCCCTCCCCCTCCCCCTTCTCCTCCTCCTCCTCCTCCTCCTGCACCTCTTCCTCCTCCTCCTCCTCCTCCTCCTCCTCCTCCTCCTCCTCTTCTCCCTCCTTTTCCTTCTCCTCCTCTTGGCTCCGCTCAGGGCTAGGAAGGGGGCGCGTGGATAGTTGTCCTTTTTCCATCTCAAGCTGAATCGCATTCAATGGTTTTTTCAATCAGAAGCGAAGGCGCGCAAAAATCCACCGCGGACGCCAGCAAGGGAAAGCAACCCATGGAACCCCGCAAAACTAGCGCCCACGTTCCGATTACAGTCCAACGGGAAAACAAACCAAACAATCATCAGCCAACAGGGGAGTTCGCTTGTATTGCGGCGCTGACAGGTGCACATTCAGCGAAGGCAGCGAAGTGATAGCCGTCTGATGGAGCAGAGACAGGGGCTACAGGAGTAAAGCTGCTAACTTGAAGTCGCGGAAGAAGGGCAATACGAACGAAGGCCATGTTAAGCCTGGACAGATGTCTCCAGGAAAGGGGAATGCCTGCCAATACGCCGCGTGTTATTTTGAACCATACTGGCTCACGAACTCTCAACGGAAAGGCCTGGCTGCCAACAAAAAAGCACCCGGGCACCTGGTGAATTCCTGACGCCTCGCGTATCCCAACCAGCCCCCGCTGTCCGTCGTCGGCTGCCGTTTTGGATCGGCTTAATGAGGTTCATTTTGTTCCTCGCATGTGCATTCCGGCGTTGGCTTTTGGCCCGCTGGCAATTATCTTGCTTGTTGCCCCAAGCTTGTTTCGACCCGCTCTCTGGAATCGTCCTTGGAGCCGCAGATCAAAAAGTATCCCAACCAGTGCACTCAGGAGTGGTTCAGCCTTCTCGAGCGGCCAGGCGTGACACCTGTCGGTCCGCTGCCCTGGCCTCTGGCGCCCTGTGGCGACAAGGTCCAATTCACGTACCTGGTGATTCAGCTCCCTTGGTACTCGCACGTTTGCAGCTTCCTGACGGCCCCAGCAGCGTGCAGTCCCCACCCTCGGCGCAGCTCAGCCCCAGCGCTGCTGCTTCCCCCGGCGGTAGGTTCTGTCTTGCTCGGCGCGCGCGCCGGCAATTAGGTAGCTCGTAGCCCGAGCTGACTCTGCTGACGCTGCTGGCGCCTTCGCCTGCGGCCGCGACGCAACAAATAATCCCAACCAGCCCATCCAAAAAACCAATCACCAGGCGAGTTGACCTGATCAGGGATGCGTAATAGCAGCATGCGGCGCAGTAGTGAGCCGCATCCGCTTTCGGGGATTCGTAGAAGTAGGAGGAAGCGGGCTAGGGGAGAGGATGGGAGGATGATGAGGAACCTGAACAAAAGGATGAAGAGAATTGGGCCGGGCGAAAGGGGGGGATAGCAAAGGGGGGGATTGAGAATCAGCTCACGTAGCTAACTTTTCCAGTGCCTCCCGGCGCCATGTATCGAGGAATGGGGCCCTCGGTGGGGCCGAAACAAGCTGCATGCAGCAAATTTCGTAACCCCCCCTTTCCCTGTCCCCCCCTTTCGTCCGGCCCGAGAGAAGGATGACGATAAGCAGGAGAAGCAAGGAGCGTGCCATCGCATGAAAAGGTCGGACGCGGGACGAGGAGCCTGAAAGATGTGGGACAAAGGCGAGCCCGCGATCCGCGCGGATCACCGGTGCGGCGTGCGCCCTGGCAAGCAAGGGTGTAGGAAGAGGTGGGCAGAGGCGGGAGGAGTAGGAGGAGGTAGGAGGAACAGGATGGGGCAAGGACAGGCAGGATGGGGAGGAGGAATAGGAGGAGGACGTAGGAGTAGGAGTAGGAGGACGTAGGAGGACGTAGGAGGAGGTAGGAGGACGTAGAACAGGACGTAGGAGTAGGAGGACGTAGGAGGAGGTGGGAGGAATAGGATGGGGCAAGGACAGGCAGGAGGCAGTTGCAGACACGATGCCCAGGCAAAATTCGTTACCCAGGAAAATGTAGCAGCACGCACTGCAAAAAAACACGAGAGCCGCTACATTAGAAACATGAGGAAGACGCAGGAGGAACCGGAAGATGCACAGGAGCGGGGAGGGCAGACAATGGAAGGAGGAAACGGAGGAAGGGGGAGAAGGAGGACGAGGAGCAGGAAGAGGAAGGATGGGAAAGGAGGACACGACGACGACAGGAATCAATCATCCAGGCCTTTGCCGGTCTTTCGCTCTGGGTGCCTATTGGAAACCCTGGGGCCATCGTGAAGCCCTCTGGGGTCGTTTTGGAAGCCTCTTGGGTCATCTCGGGGCTTTCTTGGGGCCCTCGTGGGGCCCTCCTGGAGGTCTTGGGCCCCTCGTGGAGGCCTTTGGGACCCTCTTGGGGCCATCTTGGAAGCCGTCGGTCAAGCAAGGGGGAGGGCCCATCCCCCGCTCTTGGGGCCCTCTTTGGACGCTCCTGGGGCGCTCTGGGGCGCTCTTGGGGCCACCTTGGGCCCTTGTTGGGCCCCTCCCGAGGCATTCTCAGGCAAGCTCGGAGCCATCTTGAGGCCTCAAGAGCCCATCGGAAACGAAACGGCGAGAAGGCAAGAACACATTGAAGCACACGCAATGGTTTTGAAGGGTTCGGGCCTCTTGGAGGCCTCCTTGGAGAGTTCGAGGCACACATGGGGCCGTCCTGGGGTAGTCTTGAGGGATCGTGGAGGCATGTTGAAAGCTATGTTGAACCATCCGACTTGGGACATCTTCAGTAATCTTGGCGGACTGCTCGGGCTCCCTGAGGCCCTATTGGAGCCATCCTTGGGCCGTAATGGGCGCTCCAACGACACGCGGCCACCCCCGTCCAGACGCATAGGGGAGGGGCTAGGGGGAGCGGAAACCCTTTCCCCGAAAGGGAACAAGGGGGTTGGAAGAACGCGCTCGATAAACCACTCACGCCCACAAGGGCTGGCGGGATTTCTGTCTCCTTCCGTCCCTCTTCTGTGGTGTGCGCCCCCCCCCACTTCCCCTCAACCCTTCCCTCCCTCCCCCTCCAGGCTCCCCGCGAGGCCTATTGAAGACTTCGGGGGGGGGCGAACTCGGCCCGAATACCTCCACGGAAACTCTGTGGATTTATTCCTGGGCGCCCGTGCCGAAAAACAAACACACTCGGAAAAATCCGGGGGAGGGGAGGGGCGGAGGAAAGGCTGCACATCCCTCACCACGGCCGAAATGCATCGGAAACTCTGTGAGGAGCCAAGTGTGCGGGCTGTCTTTGGGCCCCCCACAGGGCTCTTCTGAGGGCTCCCAGGGACTACTTGTGGCCCTTTTTGGGCCCTCCTGGGCTCTCCTGGAGCCCTCTTGAGGCTCCCCCGACACCCTCTTGGAGCCTCCCGCGGGCCCTGACAGAAGAGGAGGACAGCGAGGGAAACGAAGAGAATGAGAATGACGACCAGAGGAGGATAATCATGATGCATACGATGAGGAAGGGACAGGAGAAGGGAGGAGAGTCGAAGTCTGTTGTCCACACGGTATTCACAGAGACAGATGATCGATTAACAAACACGGTTTTGCACACGGTATTGTCAAACCGCATGACCGATGGACGTGTGCAAATGAGACGAGGCAGCAAGCAACTGAAAAACGAAGAGGCAAATCCACGCTGAATGCACTCCTAGCAGTTACGACACCAACTCTAACCAGCCTCGAACTTATCCCTATCTCTAAGATGGGCGAGCAAACAGCGAGGACAATCTTAGGGATAGGCCCTCAGAAGTTGAGGGAATCCTTAAGATCGGCATCGAGGTGAGGCGATGTCAAACATAGGGACAGGGATAGGTTTCAAACTGGTAAAGCTCCTCCCTCCCGCCCTCCAGTCCACCCCCGCCCTAGCCTCCTCCCCCCTTCCCCCGGGGCAGCCGAAGGGCACCGACACCGCCACTCCCAGGAGCCTCTCCCGAGGTGCAATCCGGCCAGGAGTTCAAGGGAAACCCAGCCGTCGCGACGAGGGCCCTCCAGGATACGCGCAGCGGCGTCGGGAGCTCTTCCTCCTCTGATGCCCCCCCTCCCCGCCTGCCCCTCTCCCCTCCAGCCCTCCCGCCCCTCCCTACCTGCCCTTCCCCCCTCCCTACCTGCCCCTCCCTCCTATCTGCCCCTCCCTCCCTCCTCCTCCTCCCTCCTCCTCCTCCCTCCTCCTGCCCCTCCTCCCCTCCAGCTCCTCCTCCTCCACCTGCCCCCCCCCCCTACCTGCCCCCCCCTCCTCCGGTGCCACCCGCCATCCTGCACGCGGGCTCGCCATCTGTAGAGCAGGTGGCACCCCGAGCGGCAGATGGGGGCGCCCTCGCTTCGCGGCAGGGAATCGTCGACCTGCCCGCCGCGGCCTCCCATACGCACGCTGCTCGGGAGAGAAGAGGGGGGGAGGGGGAGCAGGGTTAAGCAGTAGGGGGAGGGAGGAGACTGGGGAAACATCCCTCGTCGCTCTCACCCCAGACCCCATGTTGTCGTCAGGACCCGCATGATCATCATCATCCTCATCATCATCATCCTCATCATCATCCTCATCCTCATCATCACCATCACCATCATCATCCTCATCCGTATCTTCATCATCATCATCTTCCTCATCCTCATCCTCATCCTCACCCTCATCATCATAATCATCATCATCATCATCATCACCACCATCAGCAACGACATTACCATCATCATCAGCAACATCACTATCGGCATCATCAGCATCAACAGCAGCATCATTCGCATCATCATCGTCGTCATCAGAAGCATCAGCAGCAGCACCATCATCATCATCATCATCACCATCATCGTTATCAACATCATGGTTATCAGCATCGTCATCATCATCATCATCAGCAACGGCAGCATCATCACAACCACCATCAGCATCAGCATCAACATCATCATAATCACGTGAATCAGCATCGTCATCAGCATCGTCAGCACCAACATCATACACACAATCATCAGCATCAGCAGCATCACAACCATCATCATAGTCGTCGTCGTCATCACCACCACAGTCATCATCATCATCACCATCAGCACCATCGGCACCATCATCAGCATACCCAGTATCATCATCACCGTCATCCGCGTCACCATTATCATCACAGCCAACAAAAACAAAACTATCACCTTCAGCACCATCGTCGTTATCATACGCACCATCATCATGAACATCGTCAGCCTCATCCCCATCCTCATCATCACACCCCTCCTCATCAATCATCATCAGCCTCGACATAACCATCATAAGCATGACCATCAACGTTATCGTCATCGCCATCATCATCGGCACAATCAGCAGCATAACCATCCTCGGCATCATCAGTATCATCGTCAGCATCCTCTTCATCACCATCATCATCAGCATCATCGTCGGCAACAACAACATCAATCGTAGACTGCCAACTGCCGCCTAGTCTCACGCGGAGCGCAGAGACAGCCCCACCACGCCAGCACGCCTGGAGACACCAGGATCCCGCGGCGACGAGGAGGGGGGGGGCGGAGCGGGCGGTGGCCCTGAGAAGGCTAAAGACATTGCAACACGAGCATGAGAATCATGACAGACGCAATTCATTTCCCACGGCACAAGCATGATCCTGGGGGGCCCAAACCCCGGTTACTGAAGAAGAGGAAGCTGGACGTTTCATGACCAGCGACCTTGTGCCCACATCGGCTCGGCGAGATACAAGTGAAAGGAAAAGCAGAAAGAGGAGGGAGGAGAGGAGGAGGAGGAGCCAAAAACTTGAGATGGGGCCGGCTACGATCGTGACAACGATAAAGTGGCACACCATCAATCATAGACTGCCAACTGCCGCCTAGTCTCACGCGGAGCGCCGAGACAACCCCACCACGCCAGCACGCCTGGAGACACCAGGATCCCGCGGCGACGAGGAGGGGGGGGCGGAGCGGGCGTTGGCCCTGAGAAGGCTAAAGACATTGCAACACGAGCATGAGAATCATGACAGACGCAATTCATTTCCCACGGCACAAGCATGATCCTGGGGGGCCCAAACCCCGGTTACTGAAGAAGAGGAAGCTGGACGTTTCATGACCAGCGACCTTGTGCCCAACATTCCAGAAACCTTCTTGGATCGGTTTACCGGAGGGCGGGTTTGGGTGGGACCTTTGAAAAACTCCAGGATCTGATTGCCGAGCCGAGGTGTAAACTGCATTGCACGAGCTAGCTGTGCTGCTGAGAGCAACTGTATGTTGCGCAGCAACCCTGCAGGTTTGGAGTAGTGTTTGACTACTTGACCGAGAGCCAACGACCACGCTGCTGGATGGCATGTCTTGCGATGGGCCAGCTCGACGCCGCAAGTGAGGGGACAATTGTCTAACCGCGCTATCTGGCACCTAGCCCACCAGCATCTGGCACCCAGGAATTAAGGTTCATAACTGATAATAAAATCCTCGCGCGTCGTCCTCGCCAGAGGTGGTACTGCCCTCCTAGGCCCTCCTCCAGGCCCTCCTCCAGGCCCTCCTCCACCTCGCCCATGGGCCCTCCTAGCTAGGCCCTCCTCGCCCTAGCGTCGCCCTCGCCCTCCTAGGCCCTCCTCCTCCTCCACCTCGCCCATGGGTGCCCACACTCGCTCTCTCCCTCACACAGTCCCATCGCCCCCCTCGCCATCGTCGTCTTCGTCGTCATCATCATCATCACCGCCACCATCATCCCGACACCCCCTTCTTCTCCCTCCTTCCCATATCTTCCGCTCTTCTTTTTTCTTCTCGACATCTAACCAGGTCTGTCATGGGCTCTGTCTGGGCTGCTGCACTGCGTCCTCATCTAGCCCCGCCTCCTCATCATATCCTAGCCCCGCGCTGCTGCTGGCGACTTACTACGTACCTAGTAGCCCCGCTCCTCACTCACTGCATGAGGATCTTCACCCTGCGCACGCGCCGGTAGGTCCCATTACTAGAGTACTGGTAATGCTCGTCGCCGTCGTAGCCCCCTGTGCCGAAAACCACGGTGACGTCGTGGTCGAAGTAGTAGTCAGTCTGAAACTGAAACCACTTAGCTCCGGACTGGTAGGCGGCCTCAGTAGCCTTGGAGTGGTGGCCCCAGAAATCCACCCAAGCGCCATCCACCCAGGAATCCTCACAGCCCCAGCGGCTTTCAGCGAACTGCCAAGTGATGGCAGTAGCCTCGTCGTTGCTGATGCGCTTCGCATTATTAGCCCCCCACCAGCAGTTCCAGCGGCAGCAGCCCGCCCAGCACATCGTTTAGCGCCTAGTTGTAGCGCCCAGTATGTTAGCGCCTGGCGTGCGTCAGGCCAGCAGCTTGAGCCACTAGATGCAACCAGCAGCAGCAGCAGCGGGCGTAAGGGGTGCAGCGGCGGCGGCGGAAAGGGGGGGCATCTCGTTGGGGGCTATAATATTTGCGAAGGGGGGGGGTCGACGACGCCAGGGGGGGGCTATGTGGGTGGCAAGCCCACGAGCATACGGCACGTCCGTCCATAGGGCCCTCGCCACAGCAGGCATCGCCACATACCAAGCAACCCATCAGGTCGTCCTGGACCATGGGGCCCTGGCCCATCCATGGAGCCCTCGCCCTCCGCCGCGACCTTCGCAGAGACTCCGACATTCATGGGCTCCTCGCCCACAACCGCCCTCCTCCTCAGCCTCCTCCTCCTCCCACTCCTCCGACTCCTCCTCGCCTCCTCCTCCCCCTCCCCCTGGTCACCGCCATCGTCATCGCACCCATCGCCATCGCCATCGCCATCACCCTCCCCACTCATCGCTATCGTCGCCATCATCATCACAATAATCATCCACCTCTCGTCGCTCTCCCCCCTCCTCCTCCCCCTTCCTCCTCCCCTGCTTCTTCCTCATCGCCACTGCCGCAGAATGATTAATAATCCTTTGCTGCGTCGGCATCAACATTATTGCAACCGCTGTTGCCCCCACCATGACAGGCCGCCGTTGCTTTCCGCATCGCCTTCTTTTCGTCGCCATCGCCATCATCACCACAGCATCATGATCACCGGATCGTGTTCCTCATTATTTGTTTTTTTGCTCTGCATCACGATCCGAACAGTGCTCCTCTTCTTCCTTCTACCCCCCCATCCTCGACCTCCTCCACTTCTTCCTCCACCTCCTCCTCCCTCCCCCCCTTTTCCTCCTCCTCTCCTTCCCCCCCCTTTTCCTCCTCTCCCTCCTCCCTCCGTCCTCCCCCATCCTCCTCCTCCTACTCGTCCTCCTCCTCCCCGTTCTCCTCCGCCTCCTCCCCCATCCCCCTCCCTCTCCTTCCTCCCCCTGCTCCTCCCTGTTCCCTTCCCTTCCTCCTCCTCCTCTTCAACCTTCTCCTCCTTCCTCCTCCTCCTCTCCCTCCTCCTCCTCCATCTCCTCGTCCACCACCTCCAGTGCAGCGCGCGCCGACAAAGCTGCCCCTGGCGCGAGCCCCCCTGAGCCTGCCCGAGGCTTGGTGGGGTAGCTGCAGGCGGGGGGGCATCCTCCACCATGGCTCACATGCAGAAGACGGAGCTCTGCCGGTTCAGAGGTGAAAATTTCCCCAGGCAGGGGGATGGGATGGGGGCGGGACGGACGACGACGGAGCCCATCATCCCGCCCCCGCCCCGCCCCCCCTGCTGGGGGTAAGTTTCACTTCTATGAGGTTCTATTGGAACAGCTACAGCGGGGCTAATATGCGCTGCAGCCGCGGCGACCGCTGCGGGCGCCCTTCCCGCGATGGGCCAGGCAGGGCGGACAGGAAGGCTTGAGGTGGGACGGCGTCTCGGGCCTGCAGGGCTCAGTGGAGGGTGGTCTGGCCGGCCTCCGCCTGCTGCTGCTGCTGCTGTTGCTGCTCCCCCCACTGGAGTGAGGAGGAAAGGGGTGGTGGGACGAGAGGGGCCTCCCCCTGACGATGAGACGACTACCATGCTTTTTATACCCGAAGGCTAGGGGCAAGAAACAGTACCGAGTTCAAAGGCAAACAAGACGACGCGTGAAGAATCATCTTCTCGCACTCCCCATCCGCGGGCTTCAGCAACACCGCGCTGGTGAAATGCATGATGCGTGGGCTTATATCCCTCGCGGCCCCAGGGGGCTTATAATGCGTGAACACACAGAAAAAAAGGGCGGGCCCCATGGGGGGCATCATCCACAGGCAGGGGGATGCGCTTGTCCAAGGCAAGCGCATATTCAATTAAATGAGGAGGAGGAGCAGGAGGAGGGGCCAGGAAGAGAGAGGAGCAGGAGCAGGAAGAAAGGATCAAGTCATATTTGATATCTGACTGAAGTACATGCAGTATTTGCACGCGGCAGCAGTGTATGCATCATATACATGTTCACCACCCATGCATATACATATTTGTGTACATATACGTATTCACATACATACGTTGGCATTTACATAATATGTTCGTCTGATGTTGTTACGCGCGGGTCCCTGCGACAACTCAGAAGCATATGCATATACGCGTACTGACACATGTGTAAACACACGCGCACATCATGCACATACTACCTCGACATGCACACCACACACATCACATACACGTGCAGTGCCAGGAACATCGCCGGAAACGCCAGGGAAAGCCCCGCCCCATGGCCCAAAGACAGCCCAAGACAGGCTGGCCCAGCCAAGACGCGAGAATAGTTGCCATTGCAATGGGGGGGGCTAACTAAGAAGTCAGGAGGGCAGCTGAGTTGTTGCCCTGGGGGGCGGGGGGGGGGCGGGCGTTCCCAGGTGCGCCCACTCGATGGACGAGCTCATGGTCGCCCCATGGAACGCGACCCGTGGCATCCACTACAAGATAGCATGGGCGCTCTGCGCACCCCCGCCGCCCCGCCGCCTGCCGGGCCTGGGGCATCATGCGCGCTCGCATTGATTGGCGCGTAGCGCAACGCAGGACGAGGCCGCCACCTCCGGAAGAACCCGCGCGGGGGGCTAAGCGGGCGAAGCGACAGGAACGCAGGCGATTGGTGGGCGGGGGGGAGGAGGAGGAGGAGGAGGAGGAGGGGAAGGAAGGAGGTGGGGGAGGAGAGGGAGGGAGGAGTATAAAGGCAGGAGGATGAGGAAAGGTGGGGGGGGGGGGGGGGGGATAAAAAAAGATGGGGGGGCGGAGAGGAGGTGGGGGTAGGGGGGGAAAAGAGGAGGGGGAGGGGGGAGGAGAAAGGTAGGAAGATTGAGGCAAATAGGGGAGAGGATGTGGGGGGGGGGTGGGGGGGGGGGGTGGGGGCGGGAGAGGTGGGGGGGGCGAGAGGGGGTGGAAAAGGGAGCAGGGGATGCAGATGGGGGGGGGGGGCTGCGGGGGGGAGGAGGGGGAGGAGGCGACGGATGAGAAGGGGGACGACGACGTGGGGGGGAATTGGAAGGGGGCAGGAGGAGGAGGAGGAGGAAAAGGAGGAGGGGGGGGGGCAGGGGGAGAAGGAGGAGGAGGAGGATGGGGGAGGGGGATGAGAAGGATGAGCATGAAGATGATGATGCAGGTGAGGAGGAGGATGATGATGAGGAGGAGGAGATGCAGCAGCAGCAGCAGGGGGAGGAGGACAGGGGCAGCATGAGGAGGAGGAGGAGAATGAGGAGGAGAAGGAGAAGTAGGAGGAGGAAGAGTGGTGAGGATGATGGGCGCCTTCAACCAGTCGCGCCCAGAAGGAGGGCAGGTTGGACTCTTCGGCAACTGGCGCGCCGGTGTCGACTCCGACCAGTGGGTGGAGGACGCGGGGCTACAACGCTGCGCAGCGGGGGGGGGGCACGCGCTGCCACCCTGGGACGAGAGAGACGACGGGGAAACGAA